CCGCAAAGGCTGCTAGTCGCCTTGCTGCACTGCATTTCCGCCTCTCGATGCGCACTTTAATTAGATTCTCTCTGCACAAGCTCCGCAGGCCCAGCGGCCAGTCGTAGTCATACTTTGATAACTTCAAATGAATCCATTCACTCATACATAATTGAGTATAGCATTTAATTATAAACAGCATGCAGGCAGCAATTGTTATTCGTTGACTTCTAAAATATCTTTTATGTGTAATAAAGTGAAGTTTAACTTGGCTCCTCTTTACCCATAAGCCTTGCTTAGTTTAGCTCTATCTATTAGTGTATTTTTGCCCACAGTTCTCTTTAAGAGATTCTTTTATACATTTAGAAACCCTTTCATAGAAATATATAGATAGATATCTAGTTCAAATTTAAATATGCTAACAGACGAAGGCTGCAAAGCTTAAATTCTCTGGAGTGCAGAGGGATTTTATGAGCCTCAATTATTTTAGAATATAATTGATAATTGATTGGATATGTTAATGCTGGGCGACAGGTCCACTCACTAGTTGAGCTTACGAGTCTAAGACATTAAGCTGCAACAAATTGAACTAAATAAAAAAATTAAGAGTTCCTTTCTTTGAAGCCGAAGTCAAGAGATCTTGAACTTTGCAAGACTCTAGCTCGGATATTTCAGAATCAAATATATTTTTTGATTTCCAAGAAGATCGACAATATTGCCAGGTTGGCCACCGATCTAATAATATTATAGCAGTGTATTGATTCGGAGTATTGATGTGTGCTCACAAATATTCCATGTTTCAAAATATATACTCGATTGGAAAAAATTGCTTGACTCGAGCTTGGGTATTTTTTGCATGCCAGAAATTCATTTATTTACCATAATTTCCTAGTATCGCAGCTCTAAATAACCGCTTTAATCCAGTTGCCAGTAGCTGCTCATTTGGCTAATTAAAATGGTATGAACAAACAAGCGCCAACACACTTTTCCATACATGGCAAACACACAAATAAGAAGAGGAATAATGCAGAGTCAATTAGTGAATTATCGGCGGAGAATGAGATACTACCGTTCAGTGTAGCTGCTCAGCTGCTCAGCTGCGGATGTTTCCCTAGCTGCCTTCGTAAGCTCATAATTCATATATCGAACGGGCAAATCTTGAACGAACGCCGGAAATCACGTACCAACGGAAAAGTTGCCACGTTGCGTGTTGGATTTTAGCATTATTGTCCTTTAAGCTAAGACAGCACGAGTATCAGCAGCAGCATTCGCCCGCCCCTCCCCCCTTGCCCCTTTTCATCGACCACAACAGCTAATTAACGTTAATTTATTAAATCAGTGTGTAAGTAAAGGCATGCAGCAGGGGAGGGAGAGTGGGCGGACTGGCTGCCTGGATTAGTGGCTGCCGCAGGCAAAGATAAAAGTTTCACACGACTTACTCAGACTGCGGCCGGGGCTCAGGCTTATGGGGTACGCTTTTCTTAGCTGGAAAAGCATGAAAACCACACGCAGCAATTATTAATTCAATTATTTTAGCGCAAACAGCACCTAAGACGCTGCGCTCAGGACCAGAGCAGAGCGAAACTCGGGCAAAGACATAAATGCTTTGGTCTTATGGTGGGCGTGGCAGCCGAGTAAAGAAATGCGAAGCTGTCTTTGAGTGCGCTGCTGAAATAGAGCAGCACAAACACAATTAAGACAGCGAAGGCATCAAGAAAGAGCATAGCAGAGTAGCCATGGCAAGGGCATGCGAAATTTAATTAGCTACATTCCACACACAGAACCAGAGAGAGAGAGAGAGTGAGAGTGAGGGAGTGGTGTGTGTGAGAAGAAAGAGAATGTGACTATCCACCTGCTTAGGTGGAACTGCCCAATGGTCGTGCTAGTCGTGGTCATCGTCGCCGCCGGACATGCAAATTAATAACAGGCTTCCGTTTCCGTTCAAAAGTGAGCGACAAAATGTACGCAACTTCAGCTAAAATAATAATAATAAAATATAAGTGCAGCTCGAACACGGATTACGCTGCAAGTTTATTAGCATATATATTATATGATATATGGAATATATAATAAATTATTGTATGATTTTTGTGTATTATATAATATATTATTATAATATCAATTTCAAATGCATATATAAAGCGAAGCTTAAGCTCAAGAACTGATTTGACTCTGAGGCAAAAATATTATTAGAAATATAAAATGATATTTATATAAATATCAAAAATATATCACAAAAATATCTTTAATGAAAACATCCTAGTCTTGAAAGAGATAAGAAAATTGGAACTCTTGAAAAAACTTAAACTAAGAGGAAAAATTTCATAAATTTGATTTGAATGCTAAACTTGGCTTCGGAATCGCCTTCAACATCAAATTTACATATCAAGGATAATACCTATATCAAAGCGACTCTTGTTACCTATTTCCCTTGCCAAACGTTACATGTTGTGTCAGAGAGCTGAAATACCCGTGGCGCAGCTAACTTTAATAACAATCATAATGAGAGTCGTGACCGAAAAAAAAGAAGTGAAGGCAACACATCCGCAGCGACAAAACGTGTTCGTTACAACTTCCGTGGCGAATGTGACGCACTGTGCCAACCTGGGCACTATGTAAATGAACGGAAAGTAGGTATAATGCAAAAGTTTGCAACTTAAAGTCACCTGCGCTGGTTCCCAAAAGCCCCAGTTGTAGTTGAAGCAAAAGTTTACGAGCTGCGAGGGGAGTGGGGCTGGCCTGGCTGCTGGGTGCTGGGTCCCTTTTGTTTCAATTCACGGCGATTGCAAGTCAGCTCATCAGGCATCAGGTATAATTTGGCCAGGGACTATTTCATTTTACGGCCAAAGTGGCGCATTTGCATAAAGTTTTATTTTCTTTGACCCGCACTTGGGGATTTCCATTTGTCGCAGTCGCCAATTTCCATTTCATGTTTCCTTTTGCATTTGCTACTTTGTCTAGGACGCGACGTCTATGAAGTGATTTCCTTTTGCTTTGTTTCTTCTTCTTATGTTCTTTCTGTGCAGCTATTGAATTTCAATATCCTCTGGCTGGCTCAGCGGGGTCAGCGCTTTGTTTAAAGCTGCGGCCATATCCATATCCTCGCTTGAATAATATGCTGTGCATGCTAATACCGTTAGAGCTGTTTACACACCGTCACAGCAGCACACGTCATACGTCACGCCCCCTCACAGACACACACTCCCTTAACACACACACTCACACGCAGTTCCAATAAAAGGTAATTTGAAAATCAAACACTTGCCCCAAAAAAAAAAAAAAAAAGAAGAAAGTCTGTAGAAGTGGCAGCTATCGTCGTCGATTTGCCGTCTCACAGTAAATCCTTTCAATTGCTGCAATTTACAGGATAAATAGGATCAAAATCGAATTTAAATGGCAAACAAATTTTTCGTGATTTTGATTTTGTTGACAGAACTTTTCACTTATGTTGCAAAATAAGCAGATTATGTGATGACGGCGCTGGCGACGCTGCTCGGCAGGATAAGCGAACAAGGGTTGCGCCTTGTCTATTGAACACCTACAGCACGCACTCACATACACACTCGCACACACACTCACACACACATACACTCATACACTCTGTACACAGCTCGCGTTTCCCGTGTTTTTTTTTTTTGTGAGTGCTTGAAAATATTTCAATTAAGTGTTCACATGCACAGCTCAAGGAGCACGCATTAAATCATCAGAACTATCTATATATCCACTCATATATATGTTCATGTAGCTTGTATACCTAGCAATATCTATGCCCATGCCAAATGTGAACTCAGTCGATTTTATTTATTTTTACTCAAATAACTTTGTCGAGCGAAACTTTTGCAGAAGGCAGCCAACTTTCGACACGAGTCCTTGGAGCCTTCTCCTGGCAGCATAAACAAGATTAATTTCACATGTGCACGGTTCGACTGTGGGCCAAGGGGCCGACTTCGGCTGCTCAGTTATTACTTTGATTATGTTTATTTTAGTCATGAAATCCTAATGCCAGTGAGTTACTTGTGCACTTCTCGTTCATTTAATAAACTCGTAGACGAAGCGCGAAATTATTTTCACTGAATTTTCGCCTCACAATCATTGCTCTCAGAACTTTTCTGTGATTAGCCAAGTGAAAAAACATGAGATTAGGCAAAACTATTTACAACTTCATTAGTTCATGCAAACTATGTGAATATCTTGCTGAGGTGAGACGCAATTCTCAGCTTGAGCATTTCCAAGCGAATAGGAGTGTTTAAAGAAAAAGCTTCAGTTACAATTAATAATAATTTCTAAAATGAAAAAAAAAAATAACTTAATATAATTTTAAATGAAATTTATTCAGCAGCAGCTCTTCAGGCCAATTGGCTTGATCACAATCGGACCGCACGCAAGATTCAAGCATTCAAATGACCAAAACCATCTAGAAGTGCATCTGCCAATTTGGCGGTGCTCCAATAGAGCCACCAGCACCACTGGCACCACCAGCGTCACAAGCGAGCAAAGGCGAAAGCGAAAGCGGACAACTTAAGTGCTTTTAATTATGTCCACGTTCACTTTAAACCAAATATTGCAAGTTTCCGAAATACGCAAATCACGCTACGGCTGCCTCGACCACGACGCACTGCATCCGTCAGCTGGGTGGGGCGGGCAATTAAGAGCGAGCGGGCAGGAGAGACTGGAGGAGCTCTAAATAAAGCGTAACAATTTATGAAATTTTAATTTCTTACACTTAATAACACGCCGAGTTATGGGCCAGCAAATGCTCTGATGGCTGCAGCCGCAGCCACGTATAGAGACATCAACGTGAGTGGCCAGCGCAGGTGAAGCAAGAGGAGCGCAAGTGAAGGCAGCTCCGTCTGCTTGGTGGCAACTTGTGTGGCATGCCAGCAGACGGCTACGCCGAGCATAATTAGAGACGGTGCGCCAACGCGCTGCTGCGGCTGCTGCTGCTGCTGGTCGCTAAATTTGGCATTCGTTGCCGCCAGCATTTGCGATTAATCGCATTTATGATGTGTGAATTAGCGGCTACGTTACGCAAGCGAATTCTGATTTTTATTTTGTATTAATACACGCAAACACTCAGAATACAGACGCGGGGATTTAATACAAACGTGATTTTATGAGTCCGCTGTCTCCGGTTCGTCTAGCTCCAGGTCGAGGCGGCTCTGAGGCAGCGAGTTGATCGAACTGGACTCCGAGTTGGCCTGATCAGTCTGTTCGTCCTTGTCGTAGGTCATTGTGCTCAGGTCACAGATCATTTGGTCCATCAACTGCTGCTGCTGTGACTGGAACTCGGCCTGCATGCGTTGCTGCTCCTCTGCCTGCTGCGAGACCAAATGCTGGAACCGTTGCCGATGCTGCTCTTCCATGTCGTCCAGCAGCTTGCGCCTAATCAGCTCCGATGTGCTGCACTCAGCACTGGGAGCTGTCGCCGCCGCCTGAACGACATTGCTGTTCGATGGCGATTTCGTGGCTGTGGGCAGCCTGCCGCAGCTGCTGCTTGATTCGGCCTTCCTCAGCGCCGCGGCACGCTTGATTGTGGCACGTGGATCATAGCTGAGCCGACGCTGCGTGCTGCTGATCCTCGTGCTGCTATCGTTGGCGCCCTGCTGCACGGCGTTGGCATGCGAGGAGGCATGCGCCGCATAGCTGACAGTGCTGCGAGCGCGCGGCGTCCGCTTGCCGCTTTTGCTATTGCTCGAGCGCTTGGGCAGCGCGGACAGGACAGACTTATTGGTCCGCTGGTCCGGTGTCGAGTGCTGCTGCTTCACCTGTATCTTGCTGGGCGATGGAGCAACACTTGACACATTCAGATTCGACGTCTTTGTTGCAGCACTGGTCGGCGTACGGGGCACCACCACCGCCGGCTCAGCCGCCGCCGCCGCCGCCGCCGCCGAGGCCGCCACCTCCTTCTCCTGTGCACCCAACTCATAGTTAAGTGAGTAGGAGTGATAGCGCTTCCACAGCTGCGGATGCAGTCGCTCGCTGCGATAAGTGTCGTGGTCGCAGGGCGTCACATTATCAGCTCTCGGGCGCAGCGCAGGACTCGTGATCGCGCGGTGCAGCAGCTCGCGTTCTCGCCTGTTAATCGACAGCTTCAGCATCTGAGCGACGCTCAGCAGTTGCCTCATGGTCTGCATTCTGTTTGATAGTTTGCCGTCCTGATTCAGCTTATCAATGCCGTCTTGGTTGGGCTCGGACATAGTCGTTGCCAGCTCCTGAGATTGCAAAGGAAGGCACGGCAGACTTGGCACTTGTTTAGGCAAAGACTCGGCCGCTGCCAGTGTGGTGCTTAACATGGCGCCATACTTGGGCCCCACTTCTATAAGGAGTGCCTGTTGTGGCTTGAGCTGCAAGTATTCCTCGCACATCATTTGCTGTTTGACCGTTGATTTCGTCGGTTTGATGAACTTGATAATGGCATTGCATTTGTTGTCATAGATCAGCGTCTCCGAAAGCTGTAGCTGCTGCTTGATGCGGCCAACGACAGTCAGCGGCTGCTGCTTCAGCTCCGATCCACCCTCGGTGTTGGTACTCGCATCCATAAGGCTGCAACCGCTGCCGACTGCTACGTGCTTGTGCTTCAGAGTGTACCTCTTGGTCTCGCTTGGCGCCTGGGCCCGCTGTTCCACCTGATCCTCTATGGCCATGGCAGCGCGGCGAAGACTCTGCATCTCCTGGCGACGCTCAGGCGTCATCTGCATAGACGCAATGAGCTTCAAGACAATGAAACAGCTTTCAGCACTTACCAGGGGCGACAATATGGCCTTGCCATTGATTGTGTAGACGGACTTGAACCGATTGATTTCTTCCTGTTCCTCCTTCGATTGCTGATCAACCGCCTCGGCTATTTCCAATATGTACTCCATAGTAAGTCCGTTCGATTGCCAATTGCCTAGCCAGAAAATGTTTACTTGGATTTTGTGAATTTTTTCTGACGAGCGTAAGTTTAAAATCATTTGATAACTAAATAAAGTGACTTTGTTTACGGAAAACACTAGGCTTATTCTCTAGATACCCACTAACTACCACTTTTTACTAATATCTCTCAATTTATATTTAAATTGAAGCTGCAGCTCAGAGTAGATGCAGACTCTGCGTCTATCTGGTATACTCTGTCTGTCTTATGCACTCTTAATCTTTACAGGGTATGTGAACATTCCATTGTTAACTAAAACACTCGCATTGGTATGCACTGCACATGGCAGGACACACTGTACAGGCTGACAAATGTGACGGTCGTCGGCGTTGCTGAAGCGTGCCACAAGGTGCCAGCCGGCAGCAGCGGTCCACTGATGCGTTGCAGCAACAACAACACAAATAAAGTCCACTCCATTACCGGCGGCCACTCACTCACTCTCCCCCATCTCCCCATCTCCCTCACTCTTACTCACTCTCTCGCCTTCCTTCGCTCTATATGTGCCGCTGTGTGCTGTCCTTTGAGACGCAGCCAACGTTCTGTGCACTTCCGACCCAAAGCGTATATGTCGGAAATTTGTCTTGCGGGCTGGAGTGCTTGTAGGTGTGTGATTTGTTTTTTAAATTTCTGCAGCCTTGAAAGAAAAATGAAAAACGCAACGGTGTATATGGCAGGGGAAGGTGGAAGGGATGTGAAGGGCAGGGCAGGGCAGGGCAGGGCAGAGAATTCAAGCTGAGGTAAAGGGGGCACTGCTACTGGCCAATTTGTCGCATTGTCCACCCCTCCCGGTGGCTGGCAACTGGCAACTGGCAACTGGCAGGACCTGCCGAATTTTCTATTTGTATTTTGGCAATGGAGTCACGTAGCATTTCACTTGCATATTTGCCCAATGACATGCGACAATTTTCCACTAAATTTGGCATGTCAAACATATTTGCAGCCAGAAGGCAGGCGGAATGAAAAATAATTCAAATTAATACATTAACTGTTGGGCGAGTGGGCGGGTGGGCGAGAGGGCGGCTGTCAGGTAATAAAGCCCATTGTCGTTAACTCAGTTTGCCAAGGCTTTCGCCTCGTCTCAGCAATTTGCTTGAAGTGGCAATTCGGGAGCGTGCCAAGTGCCTCGATAACAGTTAACAGCCATTCGCCAAGAGGCAGGTGGGGCGGCCACAAAAGGTATTTATCTCATTGTGCAGATTAACTTGTTCTTGTCTGCAAATTAGGTAAGGCGTTGCCATGGGGCGACGTGAACTCAAACAAAGTACGTGCCACGCTGCGAACTTTGTTATTCACGAAAAAAAGAAATTAACATAACAATAAAGTCAGCAAATCTGTGCGAGGAGAGCTGTACTTACCTTGATTGGATTGACTTACCTTTGAAAACCGTTGAAAAGAATGTCTGCCTGTTACTCTTTGGCTCTGCCTGACTAATGTTTGATAAGTACAAATTTAATTAATCATTATAAGAGTCTATCAGCTAGCATTCGATCTGTGTGATGTGGGATATATATCTGACAGCATCAAACAGCTAGTGATGTGTCCCAAATATCGATAAGTCTAATCTGTCTGCTGCTTAGTCAGACTTCAAACCTGCAATCGCATTTCAATGTATATATTTGCATGCATATTCATTTGATATCCACACTTAACCTTTCAGCTGTCTGCTGGCTGCTCTTTGTCAGGAGTAGACGCTCGGTTACAGTTCATAAATTCAGGGAATTATGAGCCGTAACGTTGCGACTCCAAAGCGGAAGCGCGTTCATTGCAACGCCATGGCCATGGCCAGAATGCCCGAGCAGCCAACAGGTAATAACGGTTGCACGATTGGTTAGCCTGACAGTTTTTCTTTTAGAATTTATAAGCTGGTAGCTGGCTCAGCACTTTCATGTTGCCCACCTTTAACATTACATAGCGCTCAGTTGCGGTGCGCCCTGGTGGTGCGGCTTGCCACAAGTTGTCCTCATAAATTTGGTTTTTGTATAATATTTACTCAAAGGTCGTCGCATTTCTTTTGTCTACCGCATGGCATTTTATGGCAATTCAAAGTGCTAATGCTCTGTAAGTGCTCAATAAGGGGGTATGCTTGACTATTAGAATTGTCGCTGTGTAAGGAAAACACATATAGATCCTACTTTTTTCAACTACAGGCTTTCTATCTTTAGACTTCTCATCTATAGACTCGCCATCTATCGACTTTCCTTCTCTGGGCCTACCATCTATCGACTTTCTATCTTTATATTATCTTATCTAATCTTATATATAGGCTTCACATAAGGGAGTCTAGCCCCATCTATAGACTCCCCATTTAGAGGCTTTGCATTTGCAGACTTATATTCCAATAGGGATTCTATTATAAGCTCTTCCCTAGATCTCTTCCTTCCACAAGGTAAGCAAACACAAAGGAGGATTAAATATATTTGATAAGGAGAACCTTTTACTCCAATTTACAGATGATTTTCCAGTCGAGTATGCCAGGCTTGCTCGCGGTTGGCTGTCATGATTTTATGCCGCAGACAATATCGTCATTTTATGTTCGAGCAATCGATGAAAGTTTTACGATTCGCATTCAGCTCAATGTCGCGTTCGCATTGATTTTGTCAGCGGCTCAAGGTTCAGGCCATCAAAGACGGATGTCGAGGTTAAAGTTGAAGTTGAAGTTGAAGTCCGGGCGCGGCAATCGCTTTAATTGAGTTGCTGCTGCTGGTGCTGCTCATGCATATGCAAGACTCAATTAAAAGTGCGCCCAGAAAAACTGTAGACAAACAAACACAAGACCTAGCAGCCCCCTTTTTTGGCTGATGAGCTGCGTTGCAAGAAGTTGGCAACGTCTGCAACTGACTCGGCGAGCGTCTGCGGCGTTTTGTTGACATTTTGCGGTATGGAAAAAATTAAATTAAAATGCAAATTAGACAGTCGTGAGAGACAGACAAGACACCGATGCAGGCACAGTGACAAATTGTGGTAAACAAAAATGTTGCGCATACGCCCGGTGGGACGACCCCGTGACTTTATCAGCGTCACCTACGGCGAGGTCGGCCACGACTTACCTATTGCCTCTTGTATGCCTTGGCTTGCGACTCTTGCAAGCTCCCAATGCTGTTTAAGCTCAAGATGAATGTTGTTTTTCCTTTCTTTCCTTCTGCACTCTTGCCAACCTGTGGGCTCTGACGGTAAATTATGCAAAGCAGTTACGTAATGCGCTTGTTACAATAATTTAATCTTGTAATCTGTTGCTGTTGCTGCTGCTGTTGCGCTGCGGCAAGTGCCATAAATAATTCAGCTTCCTGACAGACACTTAACGTTGCATCTTCGAGAGCTGCCCCCAAAATGCCGGAGCACCAGCGCAGCATCTGCTTTACGTCTGCTCCCAGATGCTGCGAGCGGTTGATTTTTTGCATTTTTAATTTCAAGGTAAACAAACGACAAACAACTTCCAAGTCAAAACGGAATTCTAATGAGCTGTCTCAAGGTGAATGCCAGATGCCTTTACCTATCGGCCACTGCCAGCCAAATTGACATCTCAGCAAAGCGCGCACGTTAATTCAATTTCTGAGCTCAAAGAAAAATAAAACCAGTGAAAAGTTTTTAATGCCAGACCAAAGATAAACCAACCCTTTGACGGCGCTTCAGCACCCCTCAGAGAGGGTTGGCAAAATAACGAAAATATTATTTGTGGTGCGTAATTAGCTGCGAACTCTTTAAAGCGCCGCTTAAAGTGAACTCGCGCCACAAACGACAGGCCATAAATCAGCTGCAAATACGCAAATCCACTCCACAAATCGCAGACAACATAAAATTTCAATAACGCTTTAACCCAAATGCTTGTCACCATGCTGTAGCTGTATGTGTGTGTATGTAAGTGTCTGTCTGGAATGCTTGGCAAGGTGCACCGGCTGCTGTTGCTGTTGTTGCACAGACGAAACCAATAACAAACAACAAACGGAAGCAATACACGTTGACACGTCGAACGGATACAAATATGGCGCTGTTAGTTCCGCACCAAGACAAAGCCCGTGGCCTAATGTTACGGAAACTCTATTGAATTGCGATAAAAATCGCGTTTGCCTTGCCTTGTCCTCGTCTGCCACACACACACACACACGTGCAGAGTGAGCGAGACGGTAGCTAAGCCATTTTTAAAGCATACTTTGCGGCTTGTCAACAGGCAGCACAATTTATTGAAATTGCGCGCCAAAGAGTTGCAACATTTTGTTACTCTTTCTGTTTGGGTATTGCAACAAAGCCGTTAGATATGCCAGACTGAGGTATTACGAGCTTAAGCTCATATATTTTATGGGTAATTGGTCTTCAATTGTACGCTTTGACTTGAATAGATTTCAAATCATAATAAATATAATTATATAAATAGTATTTAAAATTTTTTCTATAATTTTTTTATATAGTAATTACAGTTTAGTGTTCGACTACTCTTGAGGCAGCCCAATCTATACAGTATTTAATTAATATACTTTCTTAAGGCTATGCACGTTAGCGAGCATAGAAGACGTTGCTTGGGGGAGGAGATAGAGTTATAGGTTCTAACTAACACAGGGAAGATTTAAGGGTATATTTGATCAATTTAAAGTCAAGACCTGGTCGTGTAGATCTTGAGAATGGAGTCTTTCTCATATAATTTGATGTCAAAGTCTTTTTTAATGACTTTTTCTAAAGCAATTGACAGATTTAGCAAATATTATTAGCTATTTTGAATACATTTAAATTGTGATTTTAAATTTATTTATTTTATTATGAATTTATTTATTTATGATTTCCAAACAGTCCAAGATCTTTTGCAGATATTTGGCTGAATGCCTTTTCACATTTCAGTTAGCGTCTACAGGGTTCAGCTTGATATGATTTCCCTTAGCTTCTAGTTTATTGTATGCTTGTGCTGACAATGTTCAATGCTATCGTTACGGTTATTGATTGACATTTTTTTGTGGAAGTTGCTTGTGGCCGTGTCTTTGCTTGCCAGAGACCAGACACCAGCTGCAGCTGCCATTTGCTGCCACAGGTTGCGCGCTGTTCATGCTCGCTTACAGTGTGATTTAGAGTATATTCGATTTCCAAGAGAGTTGAAACTTAACTTGTGCTTAACATTACCTCTGCTAGAGGTTTCTCTTGTATCTTGCGGCCTATGAGCGTGTGTTTGCCAGTCCATTATGCCCGCTTCTACTTTCTTACTTGTTTTTTGTTGACTTAGCTTGCATTTATCTCACTTGGCGTCACTGGCAGTGATCTACCTGTCTGCCTGCCACAAGGATACATTCGCAGCCTGCCCTGCTCCTTGACTCTGTCACTTGCAGCGGCTGCCAAAACGATACACAAATGCCACATCAATGTGCATTTCATTTAACTTGCCACGCCCGTGTGACTTTTAAGTGTTGCCTGAACACACGCACCGCACACACACACACAGTCGCCCGCACAGCCCTTTAGGCCAGCATTAGAAATTTGAGTGCTGGACATGACAGCTTCTGCATGAGCAACTTTAGCCCCTATGCCAAGAGCCAAAGTCAATGCCCAACTCTGCGTATGTTGTAGGTGTGTGCTATAAGGTATTATCTCTTGTGTGTGCGTGTGTATGTATATCATCATGTTCTACGCAGCTTTCGAGCCCAATGCTGTTGCTGGTGCTGGGCCAAAGTTTGTGTTTGTCATTGTTAAATTTTGCGCTCGAACGATCTGCAACGAATGACATCCGTACGGCAAGTTACTTTTTGATTTACAGTATGCTACTTTTTGTTCATCAAACGCCTGGCTGGTCCTGCCTGCTGCTGCTGCTGCTGACCCAACTCCTGCTCGGCTGTTTCCTTCAGCTGGTCGAAGGTGCAGCGCAAAGGTTGTTGGCTGTTGCTTGTTGGTTGTCGGTTGTCGGTTGTCGGTTGCCGGCTGGTTGTTAGCTGTCGTTAGCATTTGGTTTAAATTGCGCAAAATGCGTGTAATTGCTGGAACTGACGATTGACTGAGCCCGTGTCCGCCAACGAGACGATTAAGTGGGGGCCGAGCACTGTTTAGTTGCAGCTGCTGTCCGACTTAGCCCCGAAGATTTAAAGTTTCTGATTTGATTCGATTTCGTTTGCCTGTTGACTATCCACAGTAATTATGGGCGCATTGTTGTGCAAAAATTGAGTTTCAGTTTTCGGGCTCTCGAATTTGTTTAGCCATAAACTTGTGCCAACTAGTTTCAGGGCTTTGTGCGCCTCTTCCTCTTCGTCTCTGCTATGACTTTGGGCTTCAACTTCTGCCGAGATGTTGCCATTTCCGCAGCCGAGCAACTGAAGGTGTCTTAAAAAGCAGCTAAAGTTCTTGTTCTTGCATTGAAACTTAATCAAATATCAAACTATATTTAGTAAATTAAAGCTCAATATCTCGCTCTTTTTATTTGCAGTTCAATTACTTGTATTAGAGTTCGATTAGAATGATATTTAACGATTCTTTGGTCTC